GGGCCCATTACTTTTTCATCAATATCAAGCACGTGGTGACGAACCCTAGTGAATTTCCTGAACAATGGAATTTTGCTCGTAAGTGTCAATATTTGGAGTACGTTCTTTCCCTTCTCTTCGTGTTTCGTGACTTGTTACGTTGTTTATTTTGAAGCTGAGAGGCATCCCCCTTCTTTGATCATTGATATCAGTGACTCGGTAGCCCCCGTCCTGCCTCATGCCGTAGGGATCCATGACTGGGTGTCCTTCAATAAGAGGTTCGGGCTCAAGCCCTCGACCGGTAAGTCGGGTTTCGCCCTTATAACTATGTCGCTCTTGTCATGGTGCATTTCTTTCTTCCGCTTATGGTGTTCTTTTGATGCCAGGTCGGAGGACTTCTAAGAAAGCGAAGGCTCCTATCCCCACATTTCGCCAGGCGGTTGCCTCAGACGGGATGCAGTTTGTGTTGGCTGATTCTGTGCAGAATATTTCTTTCCAGACTCCGATATTAAGTGAACCTGGTCGTCAGACGGCCATTCCAATTGCGGAGGTCTCGGCCTGTCCGATATTTTATTTAGTAGACGAATCTTCCCTCGGTGAGGAGGAAATGACGCCATTGAAAAAGCGACGAGTAGAGGTCGTGGAACACCTGAGCGGGCAGTAATTGTAGATCTGGAGGCGGTGTGCCCTTCAGTTGCGGGGACTTCTCCCCCACTAGAGGTTGTCATAGAAGATATGCCGTTGGAGACGGCGAAGGCTGCTGCAGAAAGGGAAATATCGAGGGTAGCCCAGGTTGGCTCTTCGTTTGCCAGTGGTAGAGGAAAAGTGGTCGCTATGGAGGATGACGGGTCCTATTCTGACATCAACCCCGAGGAATTGTGAACTTTTGAGGAGAGATTTACTCGAGTAGAAGTGAGGACCGAGGGGTCCATTCAGAATATTGTCATCCCCATGGATTTCAACTTGTTGGTCAACTCGGAGCGCGTTTGGCCCCCCTATGCATGGACTCCGAGAACTGGACCTTACAGACATTGAAGGATGCAGACTTGTCACTAGGAATTTCCAAGATGGACTGCGAGTAAGTTCTCTCTTAGCATTTTCAATTTCTTCTTTCCTTTACGTTATTTGCTTTTGCCGACCCCTCTTCGTCTGCTTATCAAACTCTCATCCTGGAGATTGAGAGCGCCTGTCGAGAGGAGAAGAGGACGGATCTCTATAAGAGGATGGAGTTAAAATACAGAGAGTATCATACCAAACACCGAGCCCTAGTCCGCATACTTGGTAAGGATGATCAATTCCAAATTCTTCGTGATGAGCAAAAACAAAAAGACGAGTAGTTGAAGGAGAAGGATGATGAGCTCATGAGGGTTATCGGCAGGTGCAGCGAGCTCGAAGAGACATTAAGAACCAAAACGATGAGCTAGAAGTGAGCAAAGGGGTCATGACCGAGTGCGTCGACGTCATTACGGGCTGAGCTTGAGCAGAGTGAAGCTAGAGCTACGGCTTAAGGGATAAGTTGATTGCCAAAGCTGTAGAGTTGGAGCAAATTGAGAGAACCAGAATGGCCGGTATGGTAGAGGCGACGATGCTAGCGGGCACCCTCCGCGTCTTCGGATTGGAGCGATCTAGTGAAGCGGAGACTTCTGCACTTAAAGAGGCAAGGCTCAAAGAGCGGATAGGTGGACTAGAAGGAGAAGTCTTGGATTTGAGCGAGCAGATAGCCGTCCTCAAGGCTGTGAAAGCGTAGCAGCAGGCTCAGTCGTCTACCTCTCATGCTTCCACTTATCTCAACGTCCCACGAGATTTGTACAAGAAGTGGGTTCATGCTAAGGCTCATCTTGATATATATAGGGGTTTGATGGCTGCCGGAAAAGCTTCTGAGGCAGAGTTTGAGGATGCTCATGTTAAGGCATGTGCAGCTCGTGTCGCTAGCGGCTATGACCTCGGCACGCCCAGGATGGATGATAACGAATAGGATTTGGATGGGCTTGAGGCAGAAGCTTGGTACAATGACTAATACTCCAATGGCGAGGGCGTCGGTGGTGATAGCGATGGGGGAGATGCGACCGAATAGTGTGCTTGTCTCTGTACTTTTGTTCTCTTTCTTCTTTTATTTTTTTTTTTGTTATTTTGCGGGCACTTGTTTGTCCCTTGTAAGATGACTTTTTGCAATGATAATACTTTTATTTTCTACTCATGAACTTCTTATTTTTCCTTTGAATATATTTTTTAATTGACTGCCTTGGTTGTGATTTCACTTAGGTTGACTGTGAGTTGAGCTGGTTCGAGGTTGGATGTCGGCTTGTTTTTTTACTCGAACAAAGTCAAAACATAAGTCGCCTTGAGCAAGGTCGAATATTGGCTTGTAAATTGATTCGAGCGGGTCGAATATTGATTTTAAATTGATTCGAACAAGGTCGAATGTGAGTCGATACGAGTGAGGTCAAATGTTTAACTCTGAGTGATTCGAACGAGGTCGAATGTTAATTAATTCGAACAAGGTCGATGAGTCGATTCGAGCGAGGTCGAATGTTTGACTCTTTGAGTGATTCGAACGAGGTTGAATGTTAATTAATTCGAACAAGGTCTATGAGTCGACTCGAGCGAGGTCGAATGTTTGACTCTTTGAGTGATTCGAATGAGGACGAATATGAGTCAATTCGAGCGAGGTCGAATGTTTGACTCTTTGAGTGATTCGAATGAGGACGAATATGAGTCAATTCGAGCGAGGTCGAATATTGACTTTAAGATTGGTGTAATATATAAACTTGGCGGAGAAATGAGAAACTTATGTGTTTGCGTATTTTGCTTTGTTTGTATATTCGTTGGAGAAGTTTACATGTTTTTGCTCTGTTCATACAGGCATTGGAGAAGTCCCAGTCTATCTAGTCCCTTCATCGGCCTGACCTGGAGAGGTTGTTGAGAGGTCTGGTGATGAACTGATACTTAACTTTGAGATGCCCTCTTCGTCGCCTCGTTAAAAACCTTCCTGAGAAAACCCAATTGGGACAAAACTCGAGCGAGGGAAAAAGAGTACGACTTGGAGGACATCTTATTTTTAGAAGTTGAAGTATTTGAGGTGAGCGATGTTCCAATTGTTCGGTAGTACTTTTCCCTCCATTGTTTCCAGTTGGAATGACCCTTTGCTTGCTACTGCCGTGATTTTGTATGGGCCATCCCAATTGGTCCCCAGTTTGCCTTTTCGTGGATCTTTGCTCGCCTGCGTTTTGGCTTTGAGTACGTAGTCCCTGACTTTGAGTGGCTTGACCTTGGCTTTTTTGTTGTAGTATCGCTCTGCTTGTTGTTTCTGGGCCACCATTCTTATGTAAGTCATGTCTCTTCGTTCTTCAGCCTCGTCGAGATCTTGCCTCCTATTCTCGTTGTTGCTTGGCCCGCTTTCATTTGAATATCTTAGTCTTAGTTCCCGACCTCAACTGGTATCATTGCATCAGTCCCATAGACTAGTGAGTATGGTGTTTCCCCTGTGCTCGTCTTTGGCATGGTGTGATACGCCCACAACACTTCTGGCAGCATTTTCGGCCACAGTCCCTTGACGTTTTTGAGTTTTTTTTTCATAATATTCAATATTATTTTGTTGGAGGATTCAGCTTGGCCGTTGGCGGCGGGATAATATGACGTGGAGAGTATTCTTTTGATGTGCCATTTTTTGAAGAACTCGACGACCTTTTTCCCTGTGAATTGAGGTCCGTTGTCATAATTGATTTCCTTGGGGATGCTAAAACAGCATAAGATGTTCCGCTATATAAAGGCGATCACTTCTTGTTCGTGTATCTGAGCAAATGCACCTGCTTCCACCCATTTAGAGAAATAGTCGGTCAAAACCAAAAGAAATCATATATTACCTCATCTTACGGGAAGTGGGCCAACGATATTTATTCCCCATTTGATGAAGGGACAGGGCGACATAACTGAGTAGAGGTGCTCTCCAGCTTGGTGGATCATGGGAGCGTACTTCTGGAATGGTTCACATTTTTTAACAAAATTGGCTACTTCCTTTTTCATTGTGGGCCAGTAGTAGCCTGCTTGTACGAGACATCTAACTAGTGCTCAATTGCCGGTATGAGCCCCGCAGTGACCCTCGTGGACTTCTTCTAGGACTTGCCTTGTCTGGTTCGATCGTAGACACTTTGCTAGAGGGCCTCCAAATGTTCCCTTATACAGGTCGTTGTCGATGATGCTATACTTGGTTGCTTGCATTCGAAGCCTTTTGGCCTCATTTTTTGTCGTTTAGGAGCACACCGTCCTTCAGGTAGGTGATGATACAATTGCGCCAGTACCAAGTAAGGTTAATAGTGAGTACCTCGATTTGGTCAATGGTTGAGTGGAGGAGTATAACCATGTTTTCTTTTCCGTTTATGCTTTTGGTGGTTACTGCCAATTTGGCAAGGCTGTCTGCCTCGATGTTCCGCGTTCAAGGTATTTGGCTGAGCTGGTATTCGTCAAACTCGGTAAGCAGCTTGCAGATCTCAGCCTGATATTTTTGTAGCCTTTGTTCTTTGATTTGGAAAGTCCTCGTGACTTGGTTGACGATGAGTTGTGAATCACATCGAAGAATAACCCATCGTGCTCCGTATCTGAGGGCCAGTTTTAATCCTGAAATCATGGCCTCATACTTGGCCTCATTGTTAGTCATATTAGGACACTGTATGGACTGACGAATTACTTCGCCTATAGGGACTTCTCAGTATGAGTCCCAGTCCAAATCTTGACGCGTTGGAGGTGCCATCGGTGTATAGAACCCATAGGTCTGGTTATTCTAGCGCTGAAGTTGGCAGGTACTTGTGACTTTATCATCATTCGAGGCTGATAGATTATATCATGCTCGCTTAACTCGATGGACCATTTAGCCAACCTACCCTACAACTCGGGTTTATGTAGGATATTCCTCAGGGAAAAGGTCGTGAGTTTCACATTGTTGATTATTGCGTTGTCGCCTCCGCCGATGATCATCTCGATGGTACGGGTTAGGGAGGGCGGCTTTGGGGGACTTGATGTTGTTCTCATCCACGAGCAAAGTTTGCTCTTTCTCGGTCACTCATCAGATCTCTCAAATTCCCCTGGTTGAGCATGTTTACTACCTCCTGTCTCAAGGCGATGCAATCCTCGGTCTTGTGGCCTCGCTCCTGATAGAATTCACAGAGGGTATTCGACTTTTTGGTGTTTGGGTCGGACATCATATTTAGTGGCCATTTCACCTTAAGGCTAAGCTTCTCTAGAGCGTAGACTATCTCTGAAGGAGAAACACAGAAGTTATTAGCAGATAACAGTTGAGGCATACCTCTTTCGTTTCGGTGAGTCCCTATTTGTGGCATGGGTGAGCCGTCACTATAGCGGGAGGGGAGAGGGGGTGCTATGGCGGCCGTTCTAGTGTACGGCTGGTGTCTTTCACGATTTAGGCATGGGCCGGCATGATCCCTTCTGTTGTCGTTTCTGCGGTCTTTTCCCGACTCCATCTGGACCGATGTCAACTGCTGGGTTGGCCCATTAAGGTCATCCTCGTCCTCTCTTACCTCGGCATAATAAGAATTATGTATTTCTTCCCAAGTGGTGGGAGGGTACTTCATAAGTCTGTTCAACAGTTTTTTGGTCTCCCTCGACCCGCTTCTGTTCAGCCCGTTTTGGAAAGCTGATACTGCCATCCTCTCTAATATATTTAGAAGGATCATTATCACTCTGTTGAATCGGGCGAGGAAGTCCCTAAATCCTTCACCAGGTGACTGTCTAATGGCGAATATGTCATTCACCATGGCTTCCGTTTTCTTGGCCCCTGCATGGGCGGTGACGAACTTGTCAGCCATTTCTTCAAGTGTCTCTATGGATCGTGCGGGCAGTTGCAAGTACCATGTTAATGTTCCCCGGTTAGGGTTTTACCAAACTTTTTCAGCAATATCAACAGTACCTGCTCTTTAGTGAGGTCGTTTCCTTTCACTGCGGTGACGTAGTGGATGATGTGATCCTCAGGATCCGTTGTACCGTTGTATATCTTCAAGTATGGTGGAATCTTGAATGTTTTGGGTATAGAATGTGGTGCGGCCTCGTTGCTATATAGTTGTTCCACAAACCGGCCAACATCCCGCTTTGATAGGAGTTTTGGGGCGCTCGGTATCTTATCTACCCTTTCTTAATGCTCTCTCATTTGGTCGCGGAGTGCTTTGTTCTCGTTCTCCATCTCCTCCATTTTTCTTAGGATAGCAGCGACGGCGTCATTACCTGCATCATTAATAGAGTGAGTGATACATGTTAAGGGAGGCGGGGTGTGTTGCTCATTGGTTGTTGTTGCGATGTTGATTTGCACACTCTCTTTGCTCACCCTCTAAGCGGGTTTGTTGAGTATACTGCTCAGTGTATTCATTAGCCACGCTTCTAGTAGTTTTTTCACTACTGGTAGTACTTCTTTCGTCGTGGACGTAGAGGCTCCCTTTCCATGAGAAGCGGTAACATTGCCATGAGGGGGTGAATCACTCCGCCTTGGTGAAGCGCTTGAAACACGTTCTCCTCGTCTTCTCCGTGAGTTTCATCGATGGTGTTAGGAGATTAGAAGTAAGGCATGCCACTACTTTTAATCTTTCTTCTCCATTTCCTGCCATGTTAGATTATGCGAGTAGGGGAAAGAAAGTTCTGTATTTCATTGTCGGTGCATTTTAGTAGATCTAGAAAAACTATGATTTTGACTAGAAAGTCCCCATATATGGCGCCAATTTGTTTGACCAAAAAGTATAACACTGTTTGTTAAACTAATCAAAAGATAAATAAGGCGAAAGGGGAATCCTAGTCAAGCATAATAATTCTTAGATCTAGCTAAGTGTCTAAATGGTATCGTCTGCTTAATGTGCGGAATTTGTTATCAGATTATTAAATGAATACTTTTGAGAACAAACGAAGAATGAATAATGAACAATAAATATGAAAAATGGCAATAAATGTAAATAGGAAAAATGATTCACCCAAATATTGAATGATGTGGAAGATTCTTCCTCCTGACAACAAAGTGTGGCCAATAAGTAAGAAAATGGACAATGCTTTCTTGGATCGTGTGAGTAGAAAGGCAGAATAATCAACAAACTCAATCACAGTGGAAAGGTAAACTTTTGTATTTTCTCTTAAGAGTCAACTTCTTACCAGAGTTCTTCTCAGAATGAACCTCACGTGTCTTTTTCCCTCTCTCTCCTCTTCTATTTATATATGGGATGTTCTCTAAAAAAAATCCTAAAAAAGTACAACAAAGGGAATATTCAAGAGAATATTTTTATCGCTAGGTCCGAGACTATACTAGCTGTGTTCCTACTCTTTGCTACTCGACCTCGGCTTGGCCGCCCAAATTGAATCACAATCTTCTTACTTAACGATCTTCCCGCGCCTAATTTCTTAAGGCGGATATTGATCCATACAGCAAGGACTTAATGTTTATTTCTCTTATCAGCCTTCAAAACATGACGACAACGATGTTTCACGTTTCAATATCAATTAATTTAAAGTAATAACAAATTCCGATTAATTGTGTTATAAAATAAAGACTATAAAGTAAAGACAAGTATAGAGAGAAACTGATATATTATTCGAATTCAAACTATTGTACATAATGAACTGAAATCTCTTCTATTTATAGAAGAAAGGAAGCTGCTATGTAAGCTGCTACGCAAGCTGCTGTGTAAGCTGCTACTACAAGTTGTTGTGTAAGCTGCTATTACAAGCTGCTGTGTAAGCTGCTACGCAAGCTGCTGTGTAAGCTGCTACTGCAAGTTGTTGTGTAAGCTGCTAATATACCAGATATGGATAATCTTCTACTGAGAGCAATGTTTATCCATAACGGAGTACTAATAAGCTTATTATACCCGGTATGTATAATCTTCTACCTAGGGTAACGTTTATCCATAACCAGGTACCGAAGTGATAAGCTTCTNATATACCAGATATGGATAATCTTCTACTGAGAGCAATGTTTATCCATAACGGAGTACTAATAAGCTTATTATACCCGGTATGTATAATCTTCTACCTAGGGTAACGTTTATCCATAACCAGG